CATAATGAGTTCCAGGTCAGTCTAAACTACATAGTGAGACCCTGTCTCAAAAAACGAAAAAGAAAAAAAAAAGTTTCATTTTATTGACTTGTTTAATTTATAAAATATTGAAATAGATGGTGATCACCTTCTCATTTATTCTTAAAAAGGTGCACTAATAATGGTTTGAAAATAGCTATCAGCTATGTAAAGTGTATTTATTGTATTTTAAATGTACTGACACATTATAGTTTTCAAAATAGTACTGTTTTTCTTTTGTTGAGTTTTTGTGGTGCAGGAGATCCAACTCATGGCCTCCTCATATGCTATGCAAGCATTCCTCCACTGAGCTACACCCCCAGCCTGATGAATATATTGTGATAACTGGTAACTGAGGATTATAGTAGACAGTACAGGGAGAGGGCCAAGCAAAGGCCTCATGTGGCCACTGAATCAGTCTTCCACACCAGTCCATAGCAGCTCCACCCTCAACACTCCAGCCTGAGCACTAGTGGCCTTTGGTGGTATTCTCAAGAAAGCTCCCAGCTGGTGACAGCAGCAGGGTCTCTACCAGAAAGCTTGGTGTGCAGTGGAGACAGCCCTGAGATATAGTGTCACATGCCTATAATCTCAGTACTTGGAAGGCTGGAGCAGAAGATTGCCGAGTTTGAGGCCAGTCTGGGGTACAGTGAATTAGATCAAGGTTAGTGTGGAATACACAGCAATACCCTGTCTCAAAATAAATAAAAACAAATAAAAATCTTTAACTGAAAAGCTGAGTTAATTTATGGGATTAACATTCTATTTTATTTATTTTTGGTCGAGACAGGGTCTCACTATGTAGTTGAGACTGACCTGGAATTCACTATGTAGCCCAGGCTGGTCTTGAACTCACAGCGATCCTCCTGCCTCAGCCTCCCGAGTGCTGGGATTATAGGCATGTGCCACCACGCCCGGCTGTGTGTGTTTTAAATAACAGAAGTATACTTTCCTAAGTGATCTCATCCCCCCCTTTTTTTTGGCACCAGAGATTGAACTCAGGACCTTGTACTTGCAAGGCACATGAGGTGCCGAGAAAAATCCCTGGGCCTCTCCTTGTTTTACTGTAATCTAAAAATAGGATCCCAAAGTAACTGAATCATCTCTTCCTTCCACTTGATGTCAAACCAACTTCTCAAATCCAAACCCTCCCATTCCGCTCTAACACTGTATTAAATGATGTGCCATCTTAAGAGTTTAACCTTGTCCTTAATACAATGGACAGTATCATTATTCATCGCAGGAACTTCTGTCAGCTCACCTCTAAAATACTACTCATTTTTCGACCATCTTCAATGTCTCATCTCTAGTTTTTCACCTTGTCCCAGTGCTTCCACAGCCTCTTAAATGGACACTCTGCTTCAACTGTTCTTAACTGATTCTTCATGAAGTATACTGTGATCTCCCAGCATCAGTCATATAATCACACTCATACCCACTTTGGTGGATTCTCACTGCATTTAAGAAAAAGATCTAAGGCCAGAGATTTAGCTCAGTGGTTCCGCCGCCTGCTTCACTGGCACACGTGCCCGAGTTCGATCCCTGGTACCAAAAAAAAAAAAAAAAAAAA